AGACCTAGCTATTCAGGATCTCAATTGTTTCTGGCAAACCCAACTTTACTGAATAAAAGGCCAGTATATTTGGCTTGGGCCTACTATAAATGTTAATTATTTTACAAAACAATGTTCATATTGTCCCAGATGCACTAAGGTATAGCTTACAATTCCTAGTATTTTAAACAAAAACATGAAGCCCTTTCTAATAAAAGTACACAGGAAGTAACCTATAGCAATATTCCCCAAAATAATCATCCTTGAGCTTATATACTGTTAATGGAGAAACACCACTATATACTGTTATATCTGAATGGGACCATTTTGCTTCCTACCCTATTCAAAGTGGGGGTAGGGAGGGTAGGTTAAGTTAATAATCAACCCATCTGTGTGAACACTGTGTGAACACTAACATAACTCTAGCTTTCTAAAGTTCTTTAAAATTTAAAAACAATAATCCAAGTAGCTTACTACATGACCATGTGTATTTCACCCAGACACTGGTTAATTTTAAAGTATCTGCAACAGTAGATATAGTATCTACTATAGCAATGCAGAGAATAGAACAATACTACATAACAAAGCAAAATGAGAATTTCTAATGCAATTGTTTTTAGTAAAAACTAGTGATGTTAATACTATAAAGATTAAAGCAAGGTAGCCAGGACTGGTTGTGTATGCCTATAATCCCAGAGACTCTGGAGGCTGAAGCAGAAAAATTACAAGTTCCAGGCAAGCTGGGCAATTTAAGAGACCCTGTCTGAAAATAAAAAATGAAAGGGCTGGGGATATAGTTCAGTGGCAAAGCACCACCAGTTTCAATCTCCAGTACAGGGGGTGGGAAGCAAAGATTCTAGATGTCATTTAACTATGGGAATGAACATTTATTCTCTAGTCCCATAGTACACAATGGGAACATTCACTAGAACTAAAGTTAAGATGCATTCCTAAAAATAACTGTTCATTCTCATATGCAAAAGGAAAAAAGAACAGCAAAACTATGCCCACAACAAATTGATTCAGAAACAGAAATACACAGAATTGTATTAAAATCAATTCATATGATTTTTTTTTATCCACTAAACAGTTTTATCCTCACCATTAAGACTATAAAATGAACTCCCGCCCAATACTTCTCAATGTGTGGGAAACAGAAACACTTAGGTCGGCAAGTGTGTAATTTAAAAAAAAAAAAAAAAAAAAGCTTAAAGGTCTTTAGGGGATTTTTGCTCAAAGATTCAATATTTGCAACAAAATTGGGCCAAATGATTAGGCAATTATCATGTCAAATATTACTTTTAAAAGACAAAAAATACCAGGCATGGTGGTGTATACCCATAGTCCCAACTACTGAGGAGGCTGAAGTCAGAGCCCACAGGTTCAAGACCAGTTGAGGCAATGTTAAGATTCTATCTCAAAAAATAGAGAACTACTTTGTAAGTGCAAACTTGCTTAACTTAAAAGGAATCTCAGTAAAATATTTCAGTGGAGGATGACAACTGGTCATATTTTAAAATGTTCATGAACTACATATAGTTGTCAATTTTCCATAAAAGAGGCTGCCTCAAAAGCTATAGAATTACACAGTTCTAGATAGCAGGGGAAGGACAATTCTGGTAAGAATCAACACCCACCTTCACATCTAATTGCTTATGGTCATTTCAAATTACTGGAAATGAATTAAGATTCAAAATGCATTATGAAATAAGTCAAATACAGTTATATGATTTAATGTTAATGTCACTATTAACTAGCAGTGAAGGTGAGTCATTTGTGCCCTCTAGCCACCAAAATAGAGGGATTATTGTTCATCTTAAACATTTACTCAGTTTGTCAAACTCTGACTCCAGTCTTATATAACTTTTTGCTTTTTCCTTTGCCTGTTGTCAGTCTACTTTATCACCAATCTAAAACTAGGCAAGCTTCAGTGGATGAGAATATAGTAAGTAAATCGTGTGTAAAATTAAAATGTTTACCAAATGGGTTCTTCAAATATAGTTTGTATAGATACAAGGCAACTATCTGCAAAATATTGTCTCTTTACTCTCCAGTGGTGGAGGATACAAACACCTGAAAAATCCAAATATGATCCTGAAGGCAAAAAGACTGACATGGGGGGCAGATGGATCACAGGATGAAAAGAACAACACTCAACCTACCAGCCTCTAAAGAGAAGTCATGCAATTGTGAATACATGTGAACAAACTGTAATTAACATTCCAACCAAATCACATGGAAAATAAAAATTAAAAAACCTGGTAAGAGCTACAGTGGAAAGCCACATTAGCCCATCTCTGAATGGCACATATCCAATTCTTATTAAAAGTATACTTACAAACATTGTTAGTGAGAAGAGACATATTTTTGTATAATGCTCAAAGTACTAAAAAGAATTTTTACTTTTGACATCTCCAGAATACTCCAGTATAACATGCAAGACATTTCAAAAGGAATTTCAAGTAGTCTTCATATTTAGCATTAATTTAGAATTTCAACAAAATTATTTTTCATCTTAACAAAAATAAGTGTGAAATTATGATAACACTTTTTTGCCCAAATATAAAAACAATACTAATTGTATTTAGCTTAAACTGACCAAAATGTAATTACATGCATTACCACAGACCAAATATGCAATAGCATCAGTTTTGCCCAAAGATTATGCACGATACCTAAAAATGTTTTATATCCCAGGCATAAGATATCCTATTGAATCAATGTCTACAATTTCCTGGGGATCAATGGGCAACTAACCAATACACAGCCTCTTCAAGTTATGACTATTGAAACCTTTATAATACAGAAATAAAATTTAAAAGTTTTACCATTCTTCCCGCTGTGCCGTCGCTGCTTCAGTGTGTCGTGGGGAGGAGTTTGAATGGCTAGGGAATTAACAACCGGTACAGCAACCAATCAAAATTCTAGTTTTAGTTTTTGACATTGTTAGGGTTAAAAACTTTTAACTCATTTACACTTCAGTTCAACAGCAGCTAACTACAAAGGAAGCTGCTTTGCGATTTGAAAACTCAGGACTAACAAAAAAGCCTGCCCCAAACTTAAATTATAATTTATCATTTTGGTGTCTCTGTCCGAAGAACAGAATTCAGAAAGCAAAAACCAAAATGTTAAAGGCTTAAATTTCCAAATATTTAACATATTCTTTTCTCAAATTACACTACGTATATTTCAAGATTAGTTCTGTTTAATTAATAAAAGTTTACTTCCCCTCCCACCTCCACTCCCCCAAAGCCAGCACCATCAGTAAATAGCCTGACAAGAATCTGCCTAGGCTAAATTATTAAAAACTTCATTTCAAAGTGCTTACCCAACACCCCCTCCGAACCCTATGCTATTGCCCAGTAAAGGAAATCATGTTTCTAATACTGGGTTAGTGACATTTTATTGCTTTTACCCTCCACCAAAAGCTTTCTCCTTGTTACAGTGAGAAAAAAAAATTTTTTTCATATACACCCTCCCCATTACAAAAAGAAATGGAGGCATTAACCCAAGATCAATAGTCAGTAATGGGAATAAGAGAAACTCAACTAAGAGCCGGGATTTAGTCCCTTCTGTTAACTCTTATTGATGCTGCATTGTAAATATATTTTTCAAAGCAGCTTTAGACAGTAATGTGTAAGTTATTCCAATTAAAGGAAGCAAGTTTGTATTAAGAACTTGAAAAAAGAAAGTTTATCCCACAGCACGATACAGGATCTGTTTATTTTATGAAAAAGGGCGGGGGGGGGGCATCCTTTAATTGTGGGTGAGAAGGTGGAAATAAAACCGAAAAAAGACTCCTGGGCACCGAAAAGTGGGGAGAGATGTAAAAAATAATAATAATAATAAGGTGCACAGAAAAAGTTAACAGTACATTCTGTACGAATAGTTGGAAAACCCAATAGCTGAGGGCGCGAAAAGGGTGCGCGGTTAGAATAACTCAGTGGGATGGGGGGAAGGGCATCCAGCAGGCCAGAGGTAGGAACAGCTCCAGTCAAGTGCAAGCCCCGCCGACTAGGAAAGGAACTTAGGGAAAGCCCGCGAAGCAAAACCAACGTACTAACAGGGATTGGGGGCATTATCAGCAGGCCAAATTTGTCCCATGGTGGAAATGTAAGGCCTATACAGGCATACCGTTGTGCGATTGCGTAAAGTGAAAAAAAAATATCGAACAAGTCCTAAGGCGAAACTTACTTAAAATGAAAAACATTCGGCCTGAAGCCGACGCGGGAGTAACAGAGATGAACGATCTACACGTTCCCCAAAGCAAGTGCTTACAAACAAACTTGTCCTCTCGTTAACAGTGGGGAAACACCAAATAAACCTCAGTAATCCTGGCAGAAAAGCCCTTTTTTTTTTTCTATTTGCATTTTTTAATGTCCAAGATGTGAGAAAACAAGGAAAAGAGAGGACAGCGGAACAGATAAAAAGGTGTCCTCGACAGGCGGGAAAAAATCCTGGCGGCTAAGTCGGTGGGAGGAGACCCGTAGCGAGGGAGGAAAGGAGGGCGGGCCGGGGAGCAGCATGGTGACGGCTAAAGGTGGAAACGTGTGTGATGGGGGAGGGGGCAGTAAGCAGTCAGGGGAAGGAGGAAATGAAGGCTCCGGGGAGTCCAACAGAGCAAAGAGGAGACCAGTGCAGGGAGGCTGCAAGGGGGCCTGGAGGGCGGGCTGAGAGCGGGAGCGAGGCCTAATGGCGGGGGATAGGGAGGGGGAGGGGGCCTAGTTGGGCCTCACTATCCTGGGCTGCCCCTTACTCACCCTTCATCCTCCTCGTTCTTACTGGCGTCGATCTTCGTCCCCTCGGATTCGGCGCTGCCTCCTTCGGTGCCTCCAGCTGCGGTTCCGCCCCCGGTCCCAGCTCCGCTTCCCGCCGCCGCCGCCGTCCCCTGCGCCGCGGCCACCATGGCTCCCTCCTGCTCGCCCGCTGAGCCGCCTACCGCCGCCGTTGCCGCCGCCGCCGCCCCGTCCCCGCCGAACTGCTCCTCCGACATAGTGCTACTGCCTCCGCCGCCGCCGAGACTACACCCGCCGCTGCCGCGAACCGAAACTAGCAGCAAAGTAATCCCCGCCGCTGCCGCGCGCCCGCTCTACCTCGCGAAGCACACAAGACAGAGAAGGCGTGCGCGTGGCTGCAAAGGCTCCTGCGCCTCTCCCTGGCCTGCCCCCCTCGCCTCCCACTCTCGTGCGGCGCGCACTCCCACTATCTCTGGCTGCACTAAAAAAGAATAAGAAGCAGCGGCGGCCACTCTTGCCTCCTCCTCGCTTTAATGGCGCCGCCGCGGACCACCTAAAATGGCCGACGGAAGAACGGCGCGTCCCGGTCACGTGACGCCAGAGCGCGCCCTTTGCGCCTCCCCCGCCCCCTCCACCGCTAGTTCCCCCCCTACCCTCTTTCTCCTCGGTCCCGCCCTCTCACTCCCTTTTTTACCTTCCTCGCACGCGCGGAGCCGCACACCGTGGGGCCTTTAAAAGGAACCGGAAGTGACGTGCTGTAATACGGCCGTGGGGGGGGGAGCATCGAGAACAAGGAGCGTTGGTTAGGAGGCGCAGCTAGAGAGGCTCCTTCCTCCTCCCCCGCCCTTCTGAGGATTCCTGGAGTCCACTCACCTCTCCCTACCATGCGGACTGGAATAGCGGTGACGGGAAGGGGTGTGGTTGCTCCTCGCGGAAGGCCACTGTCCTGTGCGCCTGCGACGTTTGGATGAGGGAAGAGAGGAGTACTCCCGGCGACTTATGTCCTGGAGGGCCCAGCCAGAGAAAGGAAGCTGCCCTGAAGCGGCAGCCGCTTTTGCCGGCGGCGTCTGGGGAATCCGGGCTGACGGTGCGTGGAGCGAAGCGCCGCTGCGGACCGTGCGCGTGCCGTGACAGCCGCAGTTCCTCCGCCAGTCGTCCCCTCCCGAACTCGGTGACATTGAGGTTCCCTACGGCCGCCGCGGGCCTTGCCCAGACAGGCTGAGGTCGCTGACAACTAGGGCTACCTTTTCTTTAAGATTGACTTTCCAACTAAGATTAATGCTTGCCTGCTTTTCTCCTGAAATTTTTCGTCAAAAGAAGCAGGTAACGCTTAGTTTTAAGGAACCGGGATTGTTTTTGCTTTGCTTGCCTTATTAGAAAGTCCTAAAGTCTACCGTGGTTCTTTTACATTAATGATAGTTGGGAAGTGTGTTAAATCAATCGAGGGTTCATTTAGTTTAATGGCTTTTAGTACTTGTATTAAATAGGATACATAAATGCCGTGAATCATCTTTACGAGATTTCTGAATTTGTTGTGTTGAGGTGGTTGTGTGGTGTTTGTTTTGTTTTTTTGTTTTGTTTTGTTTTAACACCATTAGGCGTGTTATTCAGGATAACAGTAAAATTATTCTTTAATAGACCTATTAGATACTCCAGCCTTGGCTGGAAGCTGGATTATTTATGGTTTGAGATTTGCAGCTTTCTGCAACTATCTTTAGAAAAAAATGAAATTTCTAGGTACTTTGGTGATCAATAAATAATTGTTTGCCTATTCAGCATTAGTGTAGGCTAAGTTAGGAAAAGTTTGCAAAATACAGCATAGAACTCTCAAGATATTAAATACTCGTTTTCTACTATGTACTTAATTTATAATAACTGAACGCTATCCAAAAATCCCAAAGGAAGAGAAAAATAAACTTTTGCATCGTAGACTACTTAAAACTCAAGAATGCAGGTCAAATTTTGAAATTCCAAAAATGTAGATTTCCTGAAGTCCTATATTAAGCAATCACAGGAAGGCAATGTTAAGAAGGTTTGTCTACAGTGACTCCACGTTTGTCTTCACTTGCCAGGATATTAGCCAGTGATAAAGTGGCCATTGTGCTCAATTCAAAGTTTTGAGCAGGTTGGAGACCACTAATATGATGAATCAAAGAGAAGTCTCTTGAACCTTTTCTGGTTTCAAGAGAGGATAACTATATTGGGACTGTGGCTCAATGGTAGAATGCTTCCCTAATGTGCCTAGGCCCTGAATTTAATCCCCAGCACTGCAAAAAGAGACCAAATGACTTCATGGTTTCATTTACTCTTATAATATCCTTAGATTTGCCCACTTTATAGTATTAGCAACTTTTCCAAAAGGTCTGTTGATAATTCACATGCAGCCCCGTAACTTCTGGAATACTTGGAATTTATAAAAAAAATTCCAATCAACATAGGAATGATTTTAAACACATTGCTATATGCTATGTGATAGCGAATGATACAATATCACTCAACACCCTTTATATTGTGGCCTAAATTTCTACACCCTGTGCTCCTACATCCACCATTCTCTTAGAACTCACTTAACTCTAACCCTGTTTAATATTCCTCACCTGCCTAGTAAATGCCTATCCATCCTTATTTGTCTTTCTGTGAAGTCTTCACAGACCTCTTTAGGCAGAATTCATTCTCTTTTTGTCATAGCTTCATATCCTTACATCTGTTATTCTTCGTGTAATCAACTAGACCGTGAGTTCATGAAAAAAATAATGTTTTCTGTGTATCATTCTAATTCTCAAACACGTGCACTCACACGTACTCTCTCTCTCTCTCTCACACACACACACAGAGAAACAAGACATGTACAATTGCAAGTTGAATTATTGAATGATAAAATACTAGGTATGTCCAACTGGCTAGATTTAGGGCCTTTCAGACAAACTAGATATGTTTCCAAGGACTTAAAATGTACCTCCTAACTATCTCACTTCATCTTTGGCATAAATACAACTCTGAATCTCTTGATGTTTGAACAGTGTTAAGAGGAAAAAACTTTATTATACATTAATAAGTAAGAACTTAATGTTTAATTTCTAGCAAGAAATGCTTTATTGGACAGTCTCAAATCACTGGGAAGAGAACTATCCTCTCTGAAGGTCCAGGACATCAGAAATTCCATTGCTTTAAGAGATCCATAGTATGTTTAAGGTAACATGCTGAAATGCTAGATGCTTCTAAATTTACCCTGATAAAGCAGTAACTGCAAAAAAAAAAAAAAAAAAAAATTAGAGAACTCATAAAAGAGAAAAGACAAATCAATCACATAGAGAAAGCTAGGTCCAGGTGGGACACTGTCCTCTGATGGAGGAATAATGGCCAGAGCTAGCTCAGCGTGTTTATTATATAGGTTTTATCATCAAAGTTCATTTCAGACTTAAACTGGAATCACTTTTACTAGGATAAAATGTATACATCTAAGTCAAGGAGTCAAGGTTTTTATCTGCTAGATGCTTTCTACAGATTTGGCAGAAGATAACACTGTTCAGATTTTTTTTTCCCCCCTAAACACATGAAATAGACCAAGGGTCTTTATTGAATGATCTACAAGGTTCAGAGTAACCATAAAATCTGAAAACACTAGTCCTACTTATTCATTTCCTTATTTATTTATTTATGACTGTTCACATTTTTGAAAACATGTATTCCAGTTGGCACCCGAGAATGAACTGTGGAAGAAACAACAGAAAGGTACACATACTTGAGTTTTTTTCTGTAACCAAGTTAAATAGTCTGTAACCTGTATTGACCTATTTACTCACCCTCTGTAGGATTTAAGAATTTTGTTGCAGAGTTAACTTGTAGTTTTAAGTGATTAAGTGCCCATGTAATAAATATTCTGTATCATTGTTCTTGGCTGTCAAGTAGTTATCACTTCATTCAGATAGTAGAAGTTCATTAAATATGAACTAACAGGTTTTGTTTCAGCAATGAAGTCTAGATATGGTACATTTTGAGTGCTGCTTAACCAGAGGACCATCAAAAGGGTGCCTTTAGAAGCAATTAAAGAATAAGTACTTTAAAAGGATTCACATGATAAAGAATTTAGTCATCTCACTCCAGGCCTACATATATCCATCTAACTACTTAACATCTCTGCCATGTCCTGCACGGCTTTAATTCAGAAACCAGCAAGGAGCAATGGGGGATTAAGAAAAGACAAACACATAGAGAAAGCTAGGTCCAGGTGGGACACTGTCCTCTGATGGAGGAATAATGGCCAGAGCTAGCTCAGCATGTTTATTATATAGGTTTTATCATTAAAAAGGTTATTTGTGGGAAGTTTTTGCAAAACAGGCAATCTGAAGGACGCAGCACTGGTGAGACATTAGAGTATCTTGTTATGCTCAGAATTCTCTATCCTTGACAGCTGGTACTTGAGCTCCAGGTCCAGACTGATATAATTCCAAACCTTTGCAGTTTCCTCAGGCCAGGTGTTACCACAGCAACTGGGCAATCTTGACCTATACCTTTACACAGGAAGTTCCCAGTGCAGCCAGGAGGCAATCAGAGGTCATGATCCAAGCCACCACTCTCCACATATCTTCACCTGGATGTCCATAGACATCACAAACTTTAGATGCCTAAAATTGAACTGAGTCTTTCCTACAAATATACTTCTTTAATCTTCCTTGTCTCAAGTAAATGACACCTCCATTCACCTTTATGCTTCATCCAAAACCAGGGAACCAGCTTTAATATCACCCCCCACACCAACAACTAGTTAGTTACCAACTCCTGTCTGCAAAATTTATCTTGATTCATCTAAATGCATCTTAGAAATAAATACTGGGGTAATTTCTAGTTAGATTTATTCACATTTAAGCGTGCAGCACATTTTGGCACAAGTAGCATCTGGTGTTGATAATATAACAGTGACCCAAACTGATAAGGCCTTTGGACTCATGAAGCTGATACTTTGGTGAGGGAAACAAAGGACAGACAAAATAAGTAGATAATATAATATAATTTTCAGTAGTGACAGGAAGAAAAGTAATAAGGTGCTGAAGATAGAATGTGTGCAATAAGGTTTTGAGAGAAGACTCTTGAAGAAGATAACTTTTTTAAAGTAGAGGCCTGAAGAAAGTGAGGGAGAAAGCTGTACACAAAGCTTTTTCAAAGACTACACAGCAAAGAGTACATCTGAGCCAGGAGGAGTGCTTGGCTTTTCTACAATAGAGGCCAGTTCATGTAGGAACATGGTTAAGTTCATGTAAGCTATGGTTAACATTTTGCATTTATTTGTAAAATTGAGAAGAAAAAGTTTTGAGCAAAATAAAGATATGTTGTGACTTAAACATTTAAGTGGATCATTTTAGATGTGTGGACAGTGGACTATACGAGGGCATCAAGGAAATGAGTTTAAAAGTCACTGAGATGAGTTGACTATATTTTAGCATCTTTTGATTGATCTTTTGACAAAGGGCAAATCTACAGAAAGGGTATTAGTTAGTTCCATGTGGTTAAATGACTTTGTTTAGCTTTTCTAGAGTTATGTTTTCTATGAAAAAAAACATGTTCAAATGACAGCAAGCGTCAATGAAACTTAAGAGTTAGATTGATAGTAATAATATTTCCAATAAAACTCAGATTGCATTTTTGTTCAATTTCAATTTTTTTTCCTTCTATTTTCCCTCTTCTGGAAGTTCTGGAGTGAGATTTTGGTTAGCTACTACAGTAAGGGTTGGCCATAAGTCAGGTATTACAATAAGTACAATTATTTGAGCTCTGGCCTCTTGGATACTCCAGACTTCTTTCTTTCCCCAAGGACTAAGGGTGAAACCAAATACTATCAGGTGTTACTTAATAAAGTACTTTTAAGTTTTTTTTTAGCTGCTAATTTTATAATTGTTTTGCTTAATTTGCAGGATCGACAATTCAAGGAAGTTATTGTAAAAGAGAATATAGTACAGAAAAGTCAAGGTTTTCAGATTAAGGCTCAACTAACAAATACTGAAAGTCTAAGAAAAAGTTTAGAAAAATGTCTATGTCCTGTAGCTATTTGGAGCCTTTTCTTTTCTGTAGTGGCTGTAAGTTATTTGATATTTCTCACCCCATTTACGCTGCATCAGAGTAATCACCTTCTTACACCATGGTTAAGAGTTCTTAGGCTCTTAGACTTAATACAGTTGTTCAAAAGTAATACTTTGAAAATAGTGACACATATCAGTTAGTACCTCTGGCTATAACAGGAAGGGTTTTTCTGTTTGCTAGTTCATGTCCTTGATATTTTGGTTACTATAATAGACATTT